TTTACTTCCATTAATTTGAATAAAAGATGGTTTTTTATTAAAACAAAAAATCTGGTCTCTCTTTCAAAAGATTCTTTGCCCGTGCAACAAGTAAAAGGAACAAACAAGTATAAAACATACAATGGACATGTAGGAAGAGGAAACAAGTAAACCTTCACAAATGCAAAAAATTCCTCTTGAAGGCGCACAATGACTGCCATTCTTTTCAAATGTGAAGCAAAGTGGTGTCTCTGAACAATCTGGACAGCATGCCCGCTTCCCCTGCAATTAATTATAAAAAATCTATAATGAAAAAGAAGAAAGATGCATAATTTAAATTCTATAAGCTCAACTGCAACCCTAAACTAAACTAGGCAAAATTAATGACCATAATAACTAAATGGTTCACCCAGAGAGGAACGAAAATAGCAGTAGCTGTTGCACAAAATTTAAAGCAGGAACAGAAAATTTTTCTTCGTAACCAAAAAAAAAAAGAAAAAGCAGTGAAGTATAAAAAGGATAAGGATAAATCTCACATAAAACACTGAATGTGAACTCAACGTTTATAGATGATTGTTCTGAAAAATAAAGGCATGGACATAAAAGATTGCACCAAGTACAATAAAAACATATATGTTCCTAGGAAATATCTGTGTCGTTTCACTCAAATGTTTAGGGTTTCAAGGCACAGGCATAAATGACAAAATACTGCACAAAGCACAAATCCAGAGTCCAGGCCTGTCAAAGTTGAAGCTACAAGAATAGGTAATTTAATGAAACTAGTAACTGATTCTCCCAGCTTTAATGTCCCAGTGCCACATATATGAGGCAGTTAAACTTATAAACTTAAAAGAATCTATATTTGTATCTTACCCCTCGACCATGGCTCAACATGCAATTAGTTACGTGCTGAGATAATACATGTAAATGTAAATTTTAAATGATAAATTTAATCGCATTACACTGGAGATCGGATTTAAACTAAACTTCAATTTTGAAATCTTTCTAACATACATACAATCATATGTTAGTGAGGCCTTGGGGTGGGGGGGAAGCATACTTTCTGGGAATAGCTTTCTCATCAGCTTTGTAAGTCCAATCCACTCCCTTGAGTGCAGCCTTTTCAAGAGGATCTCCCACCTACAAAAACGCGAGAACTAATAAATAAATGTTCCCAGATGTCATGTAACTTTAATATGAACGTTGAAAGAATTAAAAAAAAATATTTTGTCACCAGTATGTATATATTTTGTCACTTGTGTAGATGTATAAATATTCTTCGTCTCATGTACATATGAATTTCTATCTAAAAGCTAACCATATACAAGTAGAAACATATGTCCAATCCCACTCGACAGCAAATTTGAATCTACAATTATATGAAATGAATATAATCTTTATATTCTCAGAAATAATACAAATTTAAGTTGTAAGGATTATGACATAATGTGCAACATTTGCCACACATTGTTTAGCTAATAGCTAAAGTTTGATGTTCGATTTGATACTAAGGGTGGATTAATTTAGTTCATCAGTTCTAGTTGTTCCAGTAACCACCGTGTACCGATCAAAAGGTCTCAAACGTCTATAAGGTCAATGTAGCCATTTGCCCTAAATATTTTCCTACAAATTTTCAAACACCAATGTTGCAGGTCAATGATATTAGTTGAGGTGGAATAAGATGGCATGAGGAGTGTTCATGAGTTGGGCTAGGTTGGGTTAACAAACTTTTAGGGCAAAATTCAATTGTTCAAAATGCAAATTTGTTTAACTCAAACAATCCTAGATAGACAATGGGCCCAACTTAAAAATTATTTGGGCTAGTTTAGCTCGAGGAGAAGATAGGCCGCTCGACTCCTCAAGGAAAGGGCTAACAAAATCTTCCTTTTTTTTTTGTTTGGGGTTGATCTTTGACCTATTTTGTTCGATCGGCAGATAAATTCAGAAAAGAGCATTCAATTTTTGTTTTGTCTTCGCCTTACTGTGCCTGCCTTAGGCAAGGCCGATCCCGCGACTAAGATAATCCCCCCAGAGAAAAGCAAAATAAAGAGCTTGAGGGAGCTAGAACAGAACATTCACGCCAAGGCCACGCCACGTAGGGGGAATGCATTTGGTCAAAGGTAGCAGGAGTCACGTCAAAATTGGGTGAAGAAATATTTAAATACAGTTGCTCAAAAGGTATACTGATAAGTGCTAGCAAAAGACACGGTTTGGATGTCCAAGGAATAGTATTTCATGAGAGAAAAGTCAAATCAACTCCATTGAGAACAACCATTTCAAGCAGAGATTCCAACCATATTGAGAAGTGAAGACCAAATACAATGTTCCCATGTGCAATATTTTGTAAGGTGCATGTTCATGCAAACTTTTACTTTCATAAATAAATTTATTCGAGAATGAAGCTAACTTACCAACTTGTTGTCCACAAACACCAATGCATGGCAAGAAGCCAGAATTTCAACTGTGCGCAAAGACACTCTAGTCATGTCAGATTCCAAATCCTCCTTATCACTTAACCCAACTACTCCTCGAAACTCCTACAGAGGCCCAGAAAGTGAAGAAAAATTAAAATATTGACATAAGATTACATGATAGATAACTATTTTCACATCTAGAGTTCAATATGAGCAAACCATGTCATCTGATGTCAGTGTTCCAGTTTTATCGAAACAACAAATATCAACCTGCAGAAGAAGAAACAATACAAAAATTGATTACAAATATACTCATAGAGAGGTACTAACATGCCATCCAACCAAAAATGTACAAGAATGAACTCAAGCAATACAGACTTATGTTTTACAGCTTTATAAAGACAATACATCAACACAAAGCCAAAACGGATCTCAAGCAATATAGAGACTACAAAAATAATATTTAGAAAAAATGAAAACTACAAGCAGCCCCAATTTTTGTGATAACTTTACTGCCTCTTCTCAGTGTATGGCTTCCACTCTTTTGTATTTATGATATTTATCACCTATGACCTAATTTTGTAACTCTTCTTTCATTAATAAAAATATTGGTTTCTTATCAAAGTAGGATATCGCCCTATGAAATCTCAATTATTTTGTAATGCCATGACAACCAATAGAGAGTTATGTCTTACCACTAAATGCATCATAGGTTGGAAATCCTAACAATGAAGAGAAATATCAAGTATACATCCGTAAAGTTCCCATTCAAACTATGGTGCCCACCTACCTAGGATTTAATATCCTACGAGTTATCTTGTCAACCAAATGTAGTAGGGTCAGGCGGTTGACCCGTGATTAGTCGAGGTGCGCGCAAGCTGGCCCGGACACACGGATTT